GTCGGGACTTGCAGGCGCGCGCCGCGCCCCCTACCTCCGCGCGGGGGTTTCCCTGCAGCCGCGGGCGGGGCGGGCCCGGAGGGGGCGCGCAGACGGCGGGACAGCCGGACCGCGCGCTGACACGCTGACACACTGACTGGGCCCCGCAGACACGCACGCCCGGAGCCGTGTGCCCACACTGTCCCGCGGCGCTCCAGGGTACACAAAGTCACGTGCCGATGGGGCCACGGGGACAGGACGAACAGACACACGGCCGCCGCCGCGCGACTGCGCGCCCTGGACGGGGGCGTGGAAGCACAGGCTCACACAGGCACAGATCCACAGAGGACTCGCTGACAGGGTCACTGACACGATGACAGGGACGCACGCGGAGGCTCGAGCACCCACACTGACAAGCACACCCGGACCCACAAACTGATCGTGTTCACAAACATTGCCACCGAGCGGGCACTCACGACACACACAAGTGATGGACCCACACAGACACAGGCTGACAGTATCTCAGAAAATACAAACTTTCTGTTAGGCACAGCCAGACACACACACACACACACCCCTGTCACAGGGACACCTGGACACACAACTTGATCTAGATGACACTCCCACGGGGACACACAAACACACCCACGCCAGCTCACAGCTGGCACAGTAAAGCTGAGCCTCACAAACACAGACCAAGTTAGACATAGAAGAAACTGACCCTCAATACACAGTCACAAAGTCACACCTGTGACAGGTTCCTGCTAACTGGCCCACTGATGAGACACACTCTGGAGCGTGCACACCTGGCCACACTCGCCACGAGTCTGGCGGGGGTACCCAGGGTGAGAAGGAAGCCCCGGGCGCCTGGCACGGACATGCCCGGGCAGCCCCTGGGCTGACTTGCACCCCCTAGCTGGCTTTCGGTTCCCTTTCCTTTCTCGGTTTCCCATTGTCACTCCCTCCCCCACTCTGACACGGTGACCCAGTGTCGTTCCCTCCCCCAGGGCCCTGGGGCTCTGTCTCCCCAGCACTTTCCATTTTCTTTGTGTCACACCTCAAATCAAACCATGTCACCAGAGGGTGAGTCACCTCTGAGTGCCCAGCGCTGGGCTGGCAGAGAAGGGCTGCCCAACCTGAGCAAAGGTCCAGGTTCTCTCTCCTTGGGGGCTGGATCCTTCCGTTTCCCAAGAGAAGCAGGAAATGCAGATCTCACGTGCAATCTCTCTACTCTAAACACTGGAAACTAATTCAGCCTCCCTCCCTCCTTCCCGTCCCTCCTTCCTTCCTTCCTGCCTTCATTCATTCATTCCCCTTTCCCTCCTTTCTTCCTTCCAGTGTTTTTCAGACTGTGGGTCATGATCAAAGCAGGCATTGTGAAATGGCTTTCCTGGGTCTTATTGTTTTTTATTCAAGTTTATTGAGATATATTTATACACAATAAAATGCACTCTTTGTAGGTGGATAGTTTGGCGAGCTGTGACAAAGGTACCTTATGGCACACCAGCACAATCGAGATTCAGAACATTTCTGTCACCCTTAATACCTCCTCTGTGTCCCTTTACAGTCAGTCCCTTCTATGTGCAACTTCAGTGGCTCCTGGCCAGACTTTTAAAAAAAATACAAAATAGACTATCATTTAAAAAAATCATGAAGTCAAAGGAAAGTATCGTTTTGTGAAAATTGTGTTTATATATAGTGAGGACATATCAGGTCACAGAGAAAGTGTATTTCTGACTGTATGGAGTTTAAAGGCATTCGAGAAATGCCAGTTTAGACATTGATTAAATGAGATCATGCATGGAAGTCCTTGAGTGCCATGTCTGACAGGTTATAAGTGCCTAATAAATGTTAGTTATTGTCGCTAGTATAACTAATTATTGTTGGTGTCTGCTCTGTGCCGGGCAGTCATGAAGTTGGGAGAGAGGCAGGCCCAGCCCTGGTCTGGCTCATGGTCCAGCCTG